CCAGCCCCTCGGGCCGCTGTCGGGCCTGCGTGCGGCGGCGCCTACGGGGCTGCTCCTGCCAGGATGAAAGGGTAGCAGACCCCTGGCCACAGCTAAGGGAGACTGAGTCACGTCTTAAGCCAGAAATGCAGCCTCAAAATACAACCCGAATTCGGGCAGATGTTTCCCTTGATGGCCCTTTCATAGCTAGATGCTGCCTTGCCTGGCTAAGTGCAATGAATTGAACGGTCTCGGGTAATCTCTGGGTGTGTCGCCAGGAGCTGATCAGTTTACCTTTGAGAGTGGTCACCCCATGGTGCCCAGCTGAGGTTTTTTGGCAGGCATCTGTGAGGACACTGGCATTGCAGCAAATGCACTTGAACTATGAGTCATTGGGTACTTTGAATTCGGGAGGCTGCTAATTTAGTAACCTTCACAATTACATGTAGCCCTTAATCATAAGGAGATGTACTTAGTTCCAGATCTTAATTTGATTTTGCTGCTATCCACGGCAAATTGGAATTGTTACTGTCTCTTGTTATTCTGCTCATGCTGCGGTAATAGACACCAATACTGCCTGCTGAAGTCAGCTGGTAGCACTCTTGTTAGAGGCATATAAACCAGTTAGTAGTTATCGCTGCAATGAGCTTGCTGAATCTCATTCCAAACTGCAGTCATGTTTTAACACTGATGCAGAGTGTAGGATTCACAGTCATTTCTTATCTGCTGAAGAATCCTGCTCTTGATCTCTAAGTTAAGGCTATTACTGAGTTGCCCTCTCTCCTGTTTTAATGGGTTGTTATCGGCAGGCTGATATTTAAAATTATTTAATTCTTCTGAAAAAGGAACGTTTCTGCCGGTTGTTAGTGCTAGGCACGATGTGGGTGGGGTACAGGCAAGCTTTTCTCAATGGAACTGCCAATATATTTCTGTTCTGATCTTCAAGGCTTGATTCTCTTCCATTCTTGAAAAAATGTCCCCTGAAGGCTGGGGTGTCACTTATGACCTGAGCTGAAACTGAACACAGTTTTTAAAATTAAGAGCTAGTGAAGGTTCCCTGATGGCTGAATTCATTGCTTCAATAACAGAGATTTAGGAAACTGCCTATTGCTCCTTGTGCTTGAGGATTAATTTATTGTAAGAGCTGGGAATTAATGGACTGACTTTTCACCTCTTGATATTTTGATTCAAATCCCCAGGAGGTTATATGTAAAAAGGAAGGTGAGGGAGGAGGATGGGTTTACCTTTGTATCCTGTGGATGTTTGTCCATATCATAGAGCAGTGGTTCTCAGCCTTTTCAGATTTAAGATGCTTGGAAAATGCCAGCTCTTAGTTTTCATTTGTTTTTTTACTACAAAAAATACTAGAGCAATTCTTCTGTTGCAAAGAACTCGGAGAGCCCACAGCAGGGCAGAATGTTTTTAACAATATGGATTCCTATTTGAAACCTCTGGGTTTATCTTTGTGAATCATGTTCGCACACCTAACAGTGCTAATATTGAGTGGCATTCCATGGCACACTTGAAAGCATGTCAGGGCACCCAAGCATGCCCTGGTGCCCTGATTGGGAATCACTGTCACAAAGCTATGACACAGTGGGGCACAATTCAGTGAGATGGTCCATCTGTATTTAGGAGACACAGAGGACTACAATAGGTTGGATATTGCAGAGGCGCATGGGGGTGGGGAAGCTTGCAAAGAGCCTACCTTTGCTTTCTTGGATCTTTAAGTGTGACTAGTGTTTCATCAAAACCTGAGCCCCTCAACTCATCTAGCAATTTATCTTACCGAAGGGGGACTCTGCATTCATGAGAAAAGCCAGCGCCCTGCAGCTTTGAGCTAAAATGTGTGATCATGAATATGGATCAGTGCTGGGGATAGGCTCTGGCTCTTCCTGTTAAATAAACCAATTAGTTTAATAGATAAAGAGTATGGATAAAAGAAGAGGGGTGTTTCCCTCTTAAATACTTGCTAGTAGAGACCTGCTCTGAATACAGCATAGTGCAGAACTGATGAATCCCAATGGCAGTAACTTGTTAAGACTGTGTGTAAGGCTTTTAAATATTTTCAGCTTTGTTGCTGGTGGAAGTAGGATCTACCAGATATTAGCAAAGAAAACAGCATGTGAGAACAGGCCCACTTTGGCTTGACATATTTGGGGGTCTTCAGGGAAATCAGAAGGACAGGACGAGGAGGGGGAGTTATTACATTAGGCTTTAAATAAAGACTGAATGATTCTTCAGTTTGGGGCAGTACAGGGCACTTCAGGATTGATGAGATGGAAAACCTGTTTTTGAGGGTCATGGTCTTTGGCAGAAATAC